TGGACGCTATTGCTTGTTGACCCCTGCCACGTGGGAGTTTACATTATGGAGACTGGGTTTTCCTGGTTGGCATGCATTTCATGCATGCGTGGTTAGTCTTAATGTCTGGAAATCTTGCACATGCGTGGACATCTTTACTGGAGGACATCTCGAGCCAGCGTGGTATCCTTTAACAATTAGCAGGCCCATGAGTATTTATTCTTCTGTAGTGTGATGGCGGACATCCAGCCTGTCCCCCGAAGACTTCATTCTGACAAAACGTGTCAGAGGTCGCCTGTACATGACGTCATCACGTTCGAAGCCGATGGCGTTCGGCGTTTGTCTTGTAGCTATCAGCCTGCTTTATGGTTTTAAAACGCTTTTGTAAGCTTAGTAATATTTCTAGCGTGGATATAGTATTCAGTTTCTTATTTTTTTTTTTTAGCAGCCTGTAAGGTATTGTACCCACGATCAGTAGATCACGGGTGCAATGCAAGGCTCCTGCAGAGTGTCAGTTTAGCAGTCTGCTCATAACTAGTATGAGCAGGCAGTTACTGAAGAATCAATGAACTATCTAGAGCACTCGTCAGTGCCCTGGTAGTTCATGGAGCTGCAGAGGCTGACAGTAGTTGTAGTCCTCCCATTCACAGAACCTTGTGAACGATTGGCTTTATTTTTAAATTGTGACAGCGGGTGCGGGGAGAAGATCCCCAGCCCACAACGATGGCTTGTGGGGGGTGTGGGGGGCTGCTGCCTTGTCCACCATCAATGATCCAGAAGGTTTTGAACCATAAAGTTTTCAGAAGGATGTCAATGACGGCACCCTATCATGAAGGACTTACTTTAATGTGACCTCAATGACCAATAGAGAAGCTAGGCCATTGCTTTTATGCATTTTCATATGCTTGGTTTTAACTGCCAAGTTATAGGACAGCTTTACATTAAAATCCTATTTTTTTTTTATTTCTTTTCTAAAAAATAAAAAGAAATAAAAAAAAAAAAGAAAAAAAAAAGGAATTTATTGCAAAGATACATCTTAGACCAATTTGTATTGCCATTTTTTTGCCAGCTGCAGCCAGAATGCAGCATATTCTTGTGGCTGGATTTACAGGTGGATATTACAGGTGGATACAGATAGTTGTGACTTCTCAGTCTGTACAAAGCAATAAGAGGCTAGCTGCTTTTGCAGCTGTCTGTGGTGGTTGAAAATAATTGCACATAAAGGGAATTGCTGCAGCTAAGAACAGATGATCACTCCTAGACGCAAGTGGCTTGTTTCAATTTTACCGCAGATAAATTGCTCCATGCGCGATTATATTATAAAAAAAAAAAAAACCTGTGGACAGCTGTGGTGGCTGTCAGCTTGTTATTCCTTTCTACAGGCTGAGTGTCCGCAACTATTCATGTGCACCTGTGTATCCAGCCATAGGAATACACTGCTTTCTTGCTACAGATGGTACATAAAAGCACTGTGAATGAGGCCTTCGATCACATATATCTTTTATTAGAGTGTATTTATAAAGTCCTGAAGTTTAGTTCAGTCCGATCAGACATGATTTTTTGCGTTCCTTTTGCTAAAATGCATATTTTTAAACACACTGTAGCACAGTTTTTACTGCATCATAAAATCAAAATCAAAAGATGAATACAACTACCAAGAATAATTTTCTGGGCAAATGTCACTGAAGACTTTAGGGCATAAAAGGGTTTGAAGGCAGCCTTAAAAACGACATTCAGTCAGATGTTACAAGCTCACTGGAAATACACTTTTAGTTTCCCTTTAAATGCAGCCAATGGTTAGCCAACTGGATCAGAGCCTAAATGAAATCACGGATACGCTCAGGTAACACTGTAATGCAAACAAAATCTAACCACCAGTTTCAACACAGTTATAACTCAGCAGTTATGAATTGAAAAGGTATGCAGTTTTCTCAGACTGTATGTCAAAAAAAGTAATTCTGAAAGGTGCGGAAGGGGGTTTCTTAGTGGACCAAATGCACTTCAGCACACATGGCTCTGTCTAACTCAATATAGCTGATACAACCTCTACTTGCAAAGAAGAGACACAGAACCTCAATAGGGGATTGGGGTCTTAAATTGGACACTTAGGGCTTCTTCACACTGGAACGAAGGGTATCACCTGTTTTGGAGTGCCGAAATGCATTGCATTTGGGAGTCTATTCACATTGCACACCCTCCCTCTCTTGCCGTGCACACCCTCCCTCTCTTGCCGTGGTAGCGTGTGGGGTTTCTTCTTCCCTGTGACAATCATCACTTTTTGAAATCGGAGCAGGCGTGCGAGGCTCCGTCCAAACAGCCATGAATTGATTCACATAGATCTGTGAGTGAATGAACTACAAGTCCTGTCTTCCACCGCTTGTAGTTTTCAATAAAATACAAGTGCAGTAATCACCACACTCACAGTCCATTCACACTTTCTCCAGCTCTCCATCTGAAAACCCATACTTAGGTCTGCAGGAGCCTGGCATTGTAGTCACGATTCACTAATCATGCTTTCCAGGCTGATATACAAAAAGAAAAAAGAAAAATGGTAGAGGCACATTATTTTCCTGCAAAAATATGTGAATTCAATTTTTTTTTTTTTTTTAACGGTGATCCTAGCCTTTTAGCACTAGTTTTTAATTGATCAGAGTAGCTGCCATTGCCAATTTTTTTTTTTTTTAAGTTCAGCAAACAGAGCATGTGTGTCATGTTAAAGTACTGTATATGTAAACCCTCACCTTCTAAAACAAGCCATTTAATTGAAAATAGAAATGAAAGGCAAAAAACCTGTGTATAGATGTAAAAAAAAAAAAAAGAAATCATATATATCTTTTTTTCCCCGTTTTATAAGGGATTGCATGCCCTCTAAGCTCCTTATTCAGCTGAGAACAGAGAGCTGGGGGAGAAGGAATAACAGAACACTGCACTTCCCAGTGATTCCCTGTGTCGGGGGGGGGGGGGTATGTCAGGAGAAGTCTGATCACTGAAGGAGAGCAGACCGAGTTATCAGCACAGCTAGAGAACTGACAACAGTGTGCTCTGATGCCTAGTGTGGTTCATTTTTTGATGGGAATGCAGAGGGACTGGCAGGAATTCCAGGGATTTCCACACAAAGAGAACAGGATACTTTTTCATACAAGTACATGGTACAGCAGGCATATATCAGGAATATGAAATTTTGGGTTTACTTACTCTTTAACCTCCCTGGCAGTATTCCCGAGTGTAGCTCGGGGTAACGTTTCAGTACCACAAGCAGTAACCCCGAGCTACACTCGGGCTTACCATGCGGCGCTGCTCCGCGATCCCTCACCTTGTCCTGCGCTCCCGCGATGTTCCTCCTGCAGTGTCCCCGGCAATGTAATCCGGCGTATGCCGGCATCTGTCATCTGGGTTCCGTCCCCTGCGAGCGTTGGGACGTACGGGAGACGGAACGGCGGGAAATTTGAAAATGACAAAAAGTGACATTCACTAAAATCACATAGTAAAAAATTACTGTATCAAAACATTTCACATACATTTTGTCCCGAGTGCTTTGTCCTGTGCCCTGCCTGCATTTTTACTCTTCTTATTGCCTGGAAACTGAGAAACGTCCATGGCATCGTAAATTAGAACCACTTGCAGAATTGAGTGATAATGATTCGTGGGGAAATTCATCATCAGACACTGAAAACAATTTTGCGACTTTGCTCAGTGATGTGCGAACTGGCGCTCCATTTCAAATTTCAGTGTTTTTGGTTTGATATTATTGAATTAAATTTATTCTGAGATTATTTTTTAAATAATTTATGATTTCGTGTTTCAAGTTTTATCCTACCTGGGTTGTTTACTAGACTCTTGCTCGGACAGATTTCAGTGAGTTATTCCTAAGAATTACAGGCCTACAATATAAAACGCCAAATTTCCATGCAAAATAATGGTACCGCTTTCAGCACCAAAAATCTGAAATAATCATACCGCCAGGGAGGTTAACGTAAGTGCATACCAGAGTATTGTAGCTGTGCCTTGGAATTCAAGGCACATCTACAGTGCGTAACCAAGCACTCATGTGCACAATATAACTTGCAGTCTGCTGTGAAAGAGCCCCAAATGGGTATAAACTAGCAAAATAAAAAATAAACATTCAGTACATCTCAGCAAGAAATTAACATTTCCTCATATTTTGTGTCTCTTTAAAAACACTGCAAAAACAGAAAAATATTGGGTTTGTCTGAAATCCAGTAAACTCCCATGAATACGCTCCTTTTGGACTACAAATCACCTCCTCTACCTTATGTTATGGATATGAGAATGGGGGCTCTCTGTAGTCCTAAATAAAAAAATAGGGTAGAGCCAACAACACTGCTTGGGATTTCAGTGCAGCAGAAACATTGTGTTGTCTGCTCAAACAGGAGGTTAAGAACACACTGAAATTCTTGCACATAAATTACTGTTTTTCTGTAAGTTTTGCATTTTAAAGGGATTAAACATGATACAATGTACAGTACATGCATTGAATATGTTATAGGGCTCGTTCACATTTGACTGTTTTTCCAACTCTTGCCAAACGCCCCTATAGCATTTGACAAGCGCTGGTCCGGCATTTGCGGAGCGTTTTTAACGCTCCGCAAACGCCGCATGCGCGGTTTAGCGGAGGTTGCTAGGCGTTTGCCAAGCGTTACAAACGCCCCTCAAACGCCTATAATGAAGTTTGAATGGTGCCAACTCTCCGCAAGCGACCCGAAAATGCCGGCCGGGCGTTTGCGGAGCGGCACCATAGACTTGAATAGGAGGCTTCAACTCCTCCTGACTCGACCAGAGGCGTCCGTTTAGCCGCGACGCTCCCGTTTGAACAGCACCATGTGCTGCAATGTGCAGAATTTTCCCAGGCGTTTGGGAAAAAGGTAAAAACGCTTCCCAAACATCTGTCTGCCGCTTGCTAACAAGGCTAGTGTGAACGTAGCCTTATTCTCATTTTGCCCACACACACACTTTAATAATACAGTATAATCAGTTCCTTCAAATGGTTTCATAATGCTTACCAGACTCCGATACAAGAACTTCATACTGGGCCCTCTCGATGGAAAAATTGGTCCACTGGTCATGACTTTGTGATGCCCACTTCATGAGCTGCTGCATGTGGTGTCTGTACAGATCTAGGTGACCATTCAATCCTTGTATTTGAGCCAGTGACAACATCATACCTTGAACCTGTACAAGAGGGAGCAATATATTCAAAAGGTGCACAATATTTCAAGTAGAGATATGTGGGGCCCTGAGTGTTCGGTGTGTTTACATTTACAGGCCCAGCTAGTAATTTACAAAGTAGTATAAAGTGCACTATTTCAATTACTGGCAAATACCTGAGAGTTAAATTGCCAGTTTCTTAAATCTCTCAGAAACTTCTGAGAAAGAGCTCAGGTTCTAGGGTCTGTACACTGGTGGTGCCCATTATCAAAAGGGCCTATTTTCTATGTTGGATTTGTAACCAACTTTATATTATGAAGAAAGGAAAGGAGGGGAACAGTCTAAGCAGGAACACAGAAACTCCACTGCGGGCAGGAACAGAGATGGTAATACTGGAGATCACAGTGGTCAGTGGGAGACTCAAGCCACCTGAGTCCACCTATCATTTTTCAGTTGACTGTCCCTTTAAGGGGCACTTGCAGACATAGGTTTATGTAAGAATATGAATATTCAATATTTACTTTAGTAATGAAAGAGTTATGTTTATCTCTACAATTAGCTTTGTTCATCATAACTACTTCAGAGAGGGCACTTTTACCCCCTTCCTGCCCAGGCCAATTTTCAGCTTTCAGCCCTCTTACTTTGAATGACAATTGGGTACAGTGACGCATGACCGCAAAACTAAATTTTTATAATTATATTAACACAACTAGAGCTTTCTTTCAGTGGTATTTAATCAACACTGTTTTTTTTTATATTTTGCTAAATAAATGAAAAAAAAGACTTAAAATTTTGAAAAATAACCCCCAAAAAAACAAACACGTTTTTCTTAGTTTCTGTTATAAAATTTTGCAAATAAATAATTGTTCATAAACTTAGGCCAAAATCTATTCTGCTATGTTTCTTTCGTGAAAATAACCCAAATCAGTGTATATTATTTTTTTCTGTAGGAAAGTTATAGAATTAAACTATGGGATATATCTGAACATCTATAAATCCTGATGTACTGACAGCCTCATTTCTTGAGGTCCAAAAATGTCAGGACAGTACAGATGACACCTTTTTGGAAAGTACACAGCCTGAGGTATTTAGTAAGAGGCATGGAGAGTTTTTTGAAGTTGTAATTTTTTTGAAAATAAATTAAAAAAAAAAAAAGTTTCTTTCTTACATACGGTTACCAGTACAGTACAGCGTCATCGTAACACTGGTATGGCAGTAATCAGGGACATAGACTAACATTTTATTAAATGAAAATTTATTCAGTTTGTTTTTTTATGATTAGCTGTGATTGGCCACACCTAATCACATGACACAGTTGGGCTATGATTGGCTCAGTCTGTACCAGGCGATCACTGTGACCAATCACAGCTAGCAATACAATTGTATACAATGGATGATATGAAAGGAAGCCATCCATTGTTTACAACTTTTGTGTGAAGGTGCTGTGATTGGTCACAGCGATCACATGTACCTACAACGGGCCAGTTCACAATCAGGCTGTGTCTATGATGACAGATCTCACCGCATCATGGCCCCGCGCAAAGTAGCGATCCAGGAGAACGTCATATGACGTCCACCCAGATAGACAAAAGTCCTGCTCAGCCGTCAACACTCTATAGGCCGGGTGGCAACTGGTTTAAAAGCTTGAGTCAGTGCATTAAGGCCTTCTTCACACCATGGTGCAGAGACCTGTGTTTTTTCATTCTGCAAGGGCACAAAGAACACAATTATTCCCTGTGTGCCCTATTCACACCACAACACTAGTAGCAGATTTGTTTCTGTGCAGCAGTCTGCAAAATATATAAAATTCACTGAAACACATATAAACTGATGTAAACTTGTCTCCCTGCAAGTGAAATCTGTGCATTTCTAACATCAGTTTTTTAATACATGTATGATGTGAATGAGGCCTAAAGGTTATTTGACACATGAAATTTGCTGTAACTCACACACTGCATACTTAGTAGTGTAGAGACAATCCGTGTGGTCAGATAATTGGTAGGGAAACATCTATTAGGTCCCTTTTACAAACCAGTAAGGAGGCAAATTTAATCTTCCACAAGTAAGCATTTACAAATACAATGACTTAAAGAGATATTGTCACTATGCCTATGCAGATCAAAGTGACAGTGTCTCTGGAAAGTACATTCTCTTACCTGCGATTTGTCCCATTGGCTTAGCAGCTCATTGCTAGGCCTGAGCATGGTCACTTGACCAAAGAGAGTGGCTGCGTTGTTTCTCAAGTTGCCAGAACAGCCAATCCCCGCGCTCGTTGCAGAAGAAGGAGCTGCAAGTGAGCGCGGGTAAGGTTCGATATTAGGCAGGGTGAGGCATGCCCTTACCAGAGACACTGCCATCTTTCCCTTCATAGGCAAGGTGACAGTGGTTGTTTGAGACTTGGTATTTTAAGGGGGATAGCCTGTTTAGAGGTAGGCCAGTGAGGAGGGAGTTGCAGTAGTCAAGGAGGGAACTAACCAAGGAGTAAATCAGTTGTTTTGTGGTGTTGTTAGTGAGGAAGGGGCGAATTCTGGAAATGTTGCGGAGGTTAAGGCTGCAAGATATAGCCAGTGACTGTATCTAGCAACCTGGCACGTGTGGAGGGACCAATGGTTGCGCCGCTGATCTCAATAGCAAAGTCTTGGGGAGGAGGAACTAATACATGCTAAGTTTTGGAAAGAATGAGCTTGAAGAAGTGGTGTGACATCCATACTGATGTCTCCCAGTATATTTGTGATACGTGAGGAGATTGAGGGGGTGAGTTGAGGGATCAAGAGATAAATCTGGGTGTCATCAGCATGGAGGTGGTATTGGACGCCATGGGAGGTTATCAACTGGCCCAGGGAAGAGGAATAGAGAAAGAAAAGGAGGGTGTCCAAGGACAGAGCCTTGGGGTACCCCAACAGAAAGAGGAAGAGGAAATGGTGTTGTATGTGACACTGAAAGTACAGTGAGACAGGCAGGAGGAGAATCAAGAAAGAGCAGAGTCATGGAGGCAGAGGGAGTGGAGTTTGTTGAGGAGGAGGGGGTGGTCAACTATGTCAAATAAAGCAGAAAGGTCTAAGAGTAGGAGTATGGAGTATTGGCTGTTGCTTTTAGCAGGTCATTGGTGTGTTTTAGTAGGGCAGCTTCAGTGGAATGTTGTGGGTGGAAACTGGACCGTAGGGGATCAAGAAGATTGTTGTCAGTGAGGTAGCGATTCATACAGTTGTGGACAAGGTGTTCAAGAATCTTGGAGACAAGAGGGAGCAGGGAGATGGGTCTTAAGTTATTCAAACAGGTTGGGTCCAGTGAGGGTTTTTTAAATTTAATTAGGGGGGGTGGCCAGTGAATGTATGAGTGGGCAGGGAAAGGTGCCAGAGAAGAGGGATAGGTTGAAGATATGGATTAGTGTGTTTAGGGTGGATCAGGAAGGTGGTCATAGTAATTAATTGTGAGGGGACAGGGTCCAGGGGACAGGCGGTAAGGTTGGCAGCGGAAAGGAGTTTGGCAACTTACTCAGTGGTAACAGAGTCAAAGGAGGTAAGTGTTGAGTGTGATGCTGGACCTGGTGTGTTTGGGGAGAAAGCTGGACATCTCATCACGAATTGTGTTGATTTTGTTTTTGAAATGATTGGCAACCTCCTGGGCAGTAAGCAAGTTGGTGGGTGGAAGTGAGGGGTGAAGTAAGGAATTAAGGGTGGAAAAGAGTTGACGAGGTTTTGATGGGAGTAGTGTAGTAGATTTGTTTAGCAGTGTAGAGGCAGGAGTTGTATTTGAGAAGGGCAGATATGTAGCAGGTGAAGTCTTGCAGGGATTTAGGTTTACGCCATGCTCGCTTAAGAGCACGGCTGCATCTCGAGGCATCTGGTGTTGTCTGTTTGCCAGGGTTGTACTAGACAAGGCCTGGTTCTGCATGTACAGAGAGGAGCAAGTGTGTCCAGGGACAATGACAGTATATCACAACAATAAAGCAAAAGCAGGCCACCAAAAATGACACGAATTACTGATGTCATTAGCATATCTCCGACTCACTTGTATAAGTGTGGATACATAAACCCAAAGAACAGCATACTAAGCAATATGATAGTGTGACAAGGACACACCTATCTGAAAAAGAAGGTTTCTAGATGATCCACGTGGAGTAATATGAATTCAAAGGAATTTTAACAATACTTTATTTGATCACATAGATCATAGGGAGGTTAAACATGAGCACGGTGTACATATGAAAAAAATAAAATCATGTTAAAAAACACTTAGCGTCTTCAATTTAGGGTCATCTTAGCCAACAGAGCACCATATAAGGCAGAGTTGTGTAATGATGAAATAGTTATCCTGGGTTTCCGTAGGTTTCCCGCTTTATATTTGAGTGAACCATGTATTCAGTGGGTGTGCTATCAGATCAATGAGGAGATGGATGCGGAAATTAGATCTGCATTTACTAAGAACTTAGACCCCCAAGGAGAGGGAAATGAGGGAGACATCAAGACTAAGTTCAAGCTACATAAGAAACTAACTACTAAATATTTGAATAGAAAGTGGGATATTACATCCCTTGAATCATATATAGAGAGAGGGATTGTTCCCAGGGGATTAAGAGAAAGGGTAATTCCAGCAGAACATCTTCACACCCCCAGATTCCTGGAAAGGTGGAAAGAGGTCTGTATAAAACATGGCATAGAGATTATGCGATTAATTGTGGAAGAAGAGAAGGTTCAACTGAATGAACTCTCTAATGAAATCAATGAGAGCGCAAAATCACTTGATCCTCTGAAGAATGATCCTGAGTTTGATAAACATAATGATTTCCTTAGAAAAGAGATAGAAAAAATACAAAAAAATCTGAAATTTACGAAACAACAAAAATTTAGAAGAGATTTAGAGGACTGGGAGAAAGGTGAGATATTTGACCTAACTAATAGTAGAGGAAGGAGTCGATCAAAACGTAAAAAACATTTTTCTAGGAACAATAGAGGATATTCATCAATGAGTGAGGATGATGATGAAAGTAATAAGAGATCTGTCAGTTTTTTAGAGGAAAAAAA